TTTTTAACGGCGATAGTTTACGAAAAGTATGGCGCCATACGCAATGGAAACCGTCGTTAACTAAATCATTATCACTATTACTTATACGATGTGAATAATATCTGATTTCGAATGTTTCGAATGCGTTTCTATCACTATGATAATATGTATGTACGCAGTACGCGTTTACGATGTTTCTAAATCGAACAAATCCAACGATATACATGTTTCATCACGACCATTAACAGACACATTCTGGCATCGGAAAAAAAATATATAAAATGACAAGCGGAACGCTGCTGACGATTAACGTAACGGACTATGTTTAAAAAAAAAAAACTATTTACAAATATTTCGTAAACAACATTTATAAGCAGTGTTCGATACTAGGAACGTGTTTTTGTTGAAAAGAAAAACATTCCAATAATATCCTCGTCGAATAAAATAAAATTAAGTTCTCGAATAATATCACGTTTCGGTAAAGATAAATAACTACGAAAACTTTTGAATTTTATGAGACGTATTATTTTTAAACAGTAGGTAGTCAGTAGGCAATGGGACTCGTTCGATTAATTATCGAGGAAAATAATCCTTCCTTGCTCAGCTTGTTTTGAACAAAATTCATGGTACAGTGAATCTTAACCATTCGAAACGATTATAAAGTTTATTGTTCGAGAAGAATCCTGAAACGGTATGTGAACGAAACGCATAATACTATAATCAACAACTATTGCTCAATAATTTTATTCATTGTAGACACAAATAAAAATAATGAGATTGAAACTCAAAACATTGAATATATTAATTTTGTTATGTGTTTAYGTTTTTATAAATACGGTAAACCTAATTTAACGGTCGACAAGTGATTACCAATGTCACTAATATGTAATAAGCACTGAATACTAATTATYATATTTCTCCTAAATCTRCATACAACGCGAGAATACCTATGCAGAGAACATAATATTTTGATCGTTTTTGAAATATAAACCATCATGTTATTTATTGATGAAGGTTGCTTTTTGTTATTACCTATTAGCGTTCTTAAAATTAGATCTTCCATCGTGCGTACAACGATGTAAAAATATTCTCGTGTAACATTTAATTTACTATAGACAATTCAGGTGAGTATTATGGTTTTTATGTACATTAATATCCTAGATGACTATACTAAATACGAAAATCTATTGTTGTTGTTGCTGTTTGTTGTAGGAACAAGTCATGGTTGTAAATTCGAATAATGGAGCCCATAAAAAAAAAACGATTGGCAAACTTTGACCCCAAATCACTGTTAGTATAGATCGGCATCATGATATAAAATAACCTTATACCTTATAAATAACGATATCGTTATAAATTACAACCATTTACTAAAATCGTTCACTATAAATAGAACTTTGATGTGTATTATTTTTTCATGATACGTAACTATATGTATAATATAYATCCTTATACCATGAATAAGTGTGTTGTTTTTAT